GGAAACTTGGATGTAGGGAGGTTAAATTGCAATGCCATGTAGGTGGTGGATGTCAAAGTCAGAATTAGAATTCTAATGTCTGCTAACTAGCATTAACCTCAGTGACAGCGTCTAACACACAGCACTTCATGTTGTAAGAAATGTTTTACATAAATGACTTTATTGATCCTTACACCAGTTATGACAGTGTAATATCCTATAGAGAGGAAATTGAAGTCAGAGAGGTTAGGTGATTCCTCTAAGGTCACATAGCCAGGAAGTAATTCATGTCAGAACTCGAACCCATGTTTCCTTTCTACGCTGCCATTGAAGAAGAACAGACTCTGTTGGCAGTGTCACTGGCCATCTTTCTAAATCTCATGGCAACCACCCTTCTCAACCAGGTCATTTGCCTGCAATGGCCAGTCTCTCTTCCTGTGGCCCAGACTTAATTTCTCCACAATTAGGTTATACTAACTAACTAAATACAAAGCTTGTTTACTTTGGGCTAAATTCACATTAAGTCAGGCAATAGGGGAACATGGTGATTTTGTGCTGATCAAATAAATGGTCAGATTGGGAGATATATGCCTAATTTTTTTTTTTTAGTGGAGATACCAATTAGTTTAATAAATGATTTTTGGTGTGCAGAATCTTAGAAGTCATTAGGACATCATGATTTAAAAAAAAATATTCAAGTGAAAGGGATGAAAAATATTAATAGGAAAAGAAAGTGAGTTACTTTCTTTTTTTCACGTTCTGTCTGACTGGCACAATAAGTATTTTCTTTCTCCTTGCAACCCAATTCTTTGTAGAATAAAATAGAGCCCAAGGAGATGGGGGTGCTGGGGCAACTTTAGTTCCCAAATAGAGATATACAAATAAGAAAAAAAAATACATAAACGTCTAGGTTTGCGTTTTCTCCACCGTTTAGTTTTAACCTAGCTCTTCACTGCTCACCTGTCCACACAGACCACGGTTTACTGTGCTGTGGCTCAGGCTGAAGCAGAGGAGCTGTGGCTGCTACTGCACACACTTCCCCTAGAGGTGCTTTCTGTGGGCCTACAGCTAACCCTGGCTTTGGACCTAGACAGGCTCTGGTTGTTGGAACAGTCACACCCACGGCTGTTGAATGCAAAAGAGAGAATAACATGTGTTGTTCTTTGAGGGAAAAGCCAAGTCTTCATTTAAGGTGGAAACAAACAAAAAACAATAGAAAACCCGAAGATGCTGCACCGCGTGTTCCTGCCGGGTGGGCAGGACATCTTGTGCGTCCACAGGCTGCAGTCCCAGGCCAGCGAGGCATTCACGGGCTGCGGAGCTCGGGCCAGACAGCCTGTGCCTCTAAGACCCAACGCTGTTGCAAATAGGTCATCTGTTTCTCTTGGTGTTTGCCCAAGCGTTGGGCCTGAAATAATTTCCAGTCACAGAATAATGAGTTATTGGGAACTGAGGAGAATGTGGGAGGGACGGCAGGGCCCTTTGATCTGTCGGGGTTTTTGTTTTTTGTTTTTGTTTTTTTGATGCCTGGGTCAAATTTTTAAACAAATATTAATGACTAAGCTCTGGTTGATCTCGTCTTTGAAAATATTAAAGGTCCTGGTAAATACGGGGAGGGGTCAGGGGTCAGGGGGAGTGTAAGAACTCGGGAAGCAGGTGCTTTCTGTTGGAAGCCAGTGAGCACACAACAGACCGTGCTAGGGACTCCAGTGGTAGTATTGTTGCTGTTGCTATTGTGTGGTATATTAGCATCTATTGTAATAACAACCAAAAGTATTAGTGCTGTTCCAGAACAACTGGGAGGTAAAAGAGTCCTCTTGTGATTGGGCAAGTTTAGGGTGTGTAGGGCTGATGGGGTGGTACCCCTGGGTTGGAGGGGAGAGAGTGGCCAGCCACCCTGGCTGCTGCATCCCAAGTGGAACCAAGGCCAGGCTTTGATTTGGGCCTGCTGTAGAGGGCCCTCTGAGGGCGAGGAGGCTCCCCGTAGGAGGGAGACATAGTTGTGGGGTGATTCCATGGTCCTCAGGGGGCTGGCCATTTGGAGAAGGCCCCAGCTAGAGACTGTGGTAGAGAGGTAGGTTTAACTTCATTGTCAAAAATGGACTCATGCTGAAACCGGTTTGGCTCAGTGGATAGAGCATCGGCCTGCGGACTGAAAGGTCCCAGGTTCGATTCCGGTCAAGGGCATGTACCTGGGTAGCGGGCACATCCCCAGTAGGAGATGTGCAGGAGGCAGCTGATTGATATTTCTCTCTTATCGATGTTTCTAACTCTCTATCTCTCTCCCTTCCTCTCTGTAAAAAATCAATAAAAATAAAAAATAAAAAGAATGGACTCATCCTGCAGTGTGCAGGGGAAGAACTAAGTCAGCCCTCACACCCAGCCCAGCCCAGCCCAGCCCATCGCAGCAGCACAACCTGTGCAGTTCCACTCATCCCTTTGAGGCTCCAGCCTGACAGCGGGTGCCCGTGGGTGGTCCTCTCGGAGGTGATGTGATGGGCGTGGGTAGTGCGCGTTTCTCTGGGTGTCTCTGGGTGTAAATGTCCAGATTCGGGCAGCAGAAATAGGCTGTAAAAGGCTATTGGTAGGGCAACCACGTAATTTATTGTCTAAACCAGGATGCTTTTGAGGGTGAAAGGAGGCACTATAACGATGCCGGGGACAAAAAGCGATGAATCACACAGTCCTGGGCACACCGGCTGTACACTCGTCGTAGGGTTCAAAGTCTGGTGCTCCTTTGAAGTTAAACGACCTCGCACTGGTAGCTGGGGTGGTGTCCGAGTGGCCGTCACATCCCTGGGCCGCTGCTCTGAGCCCCAAGAATCCTGCCCTTGAGGTGAGCCAGCGTCAGCCCCTTGTCAGAGGTGGTCTCATAGGCAGCACTGGAGGGGCTTCAGCAGGCCTGGAGGCCACTGCCTGAGACCGAGGTCGCATTCACCGCGGGGACGATCCCTGCCCTGTCACAGGGAGTCTGTGCTTTGGGATGTTCCAGCTGGATTTGGGGATGTGATTCCCACCCCTTCTGACAGAAACTGGCTCCCAGGTGAGCAAGGCCCTTTCCCCTGCACCTGAACAGAGCTCTGGGTGCAGGGTGGGGTATGTCCGTCTGTCTCCTGGGCCGGGAGGGTGGCGGGCCAGTGCTGGTTCAGGGCTGTCAGTGGATCCGAGGTCCTTGATGGTCCTGAGCTCACGGTGCTCTCTTGGCCTTTGCAGGTGGACAACCAAACGGAGGAGAATAACGACATGAACAAACGGAGGCGGAGAGGCTTCAACAGCCTGCACGAGGTTCGTGTGCACAGCGTCGGTTTCAACAGAGGCCCGTGGCCTGGCAGCCCGTGGCCACAGGCCCAGCCGCCCTGGCCCTCCTTGCTCTCCTCTCTCTGGAGCTGCTCAGTCCCAGGCTTGACTTGGTGGAAAAACAGTCGGGTTCTTGTCCTCGCTCCACTACTTACTAGTAATGTGACCTTGAGAAACAGAGCCAGCCAGGGTGGGGCTCACGTCTGTAAAATACAAATGATACATTTGAAATGTATGAAACCTGGCAGGATTTTTAAAGATTATATAAGATGTTATGCAACATGCGGGGCCTGATCTATGGCACCTATGCTGATCAATATGTAATCACTATCAATAGTGAGCAGTGAAGAGGCACCAGCTGTCCGGCTTTTCTCCCAGTCATTGTTTGTACCTTTCGTGTTTTGTGTTTTCTGCACTTTGAGTCTTAAAGGCCACTGTCCCAGTGCCCGCAAGTGCCACCTTCTGGTGACAGGAGAACATTACAGGCTACTTTGTCAAAACCAGGCACCAGTCTCTCTCCTGCTACTGAAAAATTGATCAGCAGAAAAAGAGGGTATCAGTTCCGCTTCCCCAGGCAGCTCTTTAAAGAGACCTGAGATATGCCTTCACTTGAAAAGGCCGTTCCAGTCCCCGCAAAGCAAGCCCAGGTGTTGTCAGTGAACTGCGGGAGGCCAGCGCTAGCTAGCCTGACGGCTGATGCCACGATTATGACACAGAGGCACGTGGGGTCGTTTGTATAACACATTATACCCGGGTTATAGGGCTTAGAAAAGACTTCCATCTGAAATGTGTATTTTTATGACATTGTGTTCATGTCTGTGACTTGCTTCATGGGGAAGCCTTGACCGGGATCAGCACCCTGGTCCTCACAGCTGAACTTTGTAACGAATAGAGCCACCAGGCCCGCCATGGGAGAGAGGGCGCTGCCTATGGCTCAGCCCGTTTTCTGGGACGCTCGAAGGGAAGCGCTGATAAGGCCTGCAGTTCCATTCATGTCTTAAAATGTGCTCAAACTCATTATCCACTGAGTTCAAATCACCCTTGTCTGAACCCTTACTAGGATTTCTTTGGGGGAATCCCTTCAAGAACTGTTTCCTCGTCTCTTGGCGCTGCTGTGAGCCAGAGCCTGTGAACCGGGAGATGATTGAGAGGAGGAAGCAGAGACTGAGTGACAGGAGGAGAGATGTCCATTTCCCCGGTCACGGTCTTGGCTCTCGCCTGTGTGCCTGGGATTTGCTCTGGCCTCCACCTAAGGAGCGTCCCTTGCATGCACTTTGTCTTGGGGTGGGAGTCTGCTCCTGCCTCTCACTCGGGCCTTATTTGAGGGGCCGTTTGTGTTCTTTCTGTTGGCGGCAGCGCAGGAGTGGAGTGTGGAAAGAAATCGGTTGCATCTGTCCCTTCTGAGATGGCTCTGGGCTGTTTTCTGAGCCAACGTTTTTGCTTCCAAGTCAAATTTACCCAAACCATAATTCTTTCTCAGTTCTCACCAAGTGTGGGCCCAGAACCGACAGCGTCAGCATCACCTGGCAGCTGGTTACAAATGCGGAGTCTCCGGGCCCACCCCGGACCAACTGAGCCCAAACCTGCTTTTGAAGGAGTCCCTGGTGATTCACGTCTGGGGAGTGCTGTCTGCACGACCCACTGTCCCGGTGACGTGGGCCTTGTACAAACAGTGACCTCCCCAGTGAACTCGCCCGCTCTGCACTCCAGGCTGGGTGGCTGTGCAGCCACACTTCCCACTTTGAAGTGGGGAGTGACTCCGGTTGGTGTTTGTCCAGCACTTCAGGGTGGCTACACAGACAAGGTTTCCCACGGGGCTGCGGCTCTTCGGGGTCTGTTAGAAAAACAACGGACTGTGGCTTGCTGCTTCCCCGGAATCTCTTTATTGTCCTGAGAATGTCTGCCCCAGAGATTTGTTGTCTCCTGGGAAAGCAGACTGCCCACTGGACACACCAGTGCCATTTTCACCCCGAGGCCTGTGGGGGCAGAGTCTATGGGAAGGGGAGACGGACATTCCGTGAAAACTGGTAATTTTCCAAGTTTCATTTGTAGCAGATGAGCTAAAGAAGCCTTACATGGAACTCCATTTTAAAAATATGTGTATTTTTATTGATTTCAGAGAGGAAGGAAGAGGGAGAGAAAGAGAAACATCAATGATGAGAGAGGATCACTGATCAGCTGCCTCCTGCAAGCCCCCCACTGGGGACCGAGCCTGAAACCTGGGCATGTGCCCTGACCGGGAATCGAACCATGACCTCCTGGTTCATAGGTTGATGCTCAACCACTGAGCCACGCCTGTTGGTCTGGAACTCCATTTTATAAAATAGCATAATCAAAAGGTCACAGCCAACGTCTCACCCGTCATTAGTCACATTGGTATCATGTACCCTGGTATAAAGCACCGAGAGGAGCCCTTCACCTCCCTGGCTTCCTTCTCCAAAATCCATAACCCGGCCTAACCACGAGGAAGATCAGAGCACCCGGATTAAGGGACTTTGCACACACAGCTGACCTATCCCCTTTGAAACTGCCAAAGTCGTAAAAGACAAAGACAGAAGGAGAAACTGTACAGAGGGGAGAGAACTAAGGAGAAATCATGACTTAATTCAATGTAGGATCCTGGATTGTATCCTGGAACCAAACAAGGAAGCGTGTGGAAAAACTGGCATAGTCCAAATCGAGTCTGTAGTTCATGGCAGCACGCCGGGGTGGATTTCTTAGTTACGGTGACAGTATCGGGATTGCTCCTGATGTTACCATTATGAGCGGCTGGGTGAAGGCTATGCAGGAACCATCTGTGCTATCTTTGTCGTTTTTCCATAAATCCAAAATTATTTCACAATTAAACGTTGTTTTTAAATGGTAGCACCAAGAGAGCGGGGCAGGTTGGAGTTGGGAATGGGTGCTGAGGAGGAAGGAGGAAGATGCCCAAAGCCTGTGCCTGACGGACACCCTTCTTGCTCCCTTCACACACACACACACACACACACACACACACACACACACCCGTTGTTCACCTCTTGGGAGCCACAGGATGTATTTTGAAAATGATTTTGCTCACCGATTCATTATTATATTTGATTTTTTGTGTGTGTGTGACAACCATGTGAAATGGGTTATGCTCCCATTTTACAGATGCAGAAACTTTAGGGAAGTTCATTGCCAAGGTCACTGGGCTGGGAAATGAGAGTCAGGATGCAAACCCTAACTCTCGGGCTCCCAAGCCTGGCTGTGCCCGTCCTTGGGCATCGCCTGCTGCTTGTGCCTCACTTCCTGAGCCCATGGAGGGTCTCCTTCTTCAGGAAATTAGTCCCCTGTCCTCAGCCCCCAGGCCCCCTCCCTGATATCTGGGTTCTGGGACCCAACCACCAATGCACTGATTCGGACTTTGCAGCGGCCAGCCTTTTCCAGCCGGAGTTTGGGCTCCAGTCAAGAGGGCAGCGTCAGTAAAGAAGGTGGGAATCAGAACAAAGTCAAGTCCATGGCAAGTCAGCTGCTGGCCAAGTTCGAGGAGAGCTCTCGGAACCCTTCGCTCCTGAAGCAGGTGAGTCCCATCTCTTGTTCACTGGACCTGCCTTCTTGGTGACCAGAACTGAGAAGCTGGCAGAAATGTTCCGGCTAGGGATGGATTTCAGGTATGCCAGCCATGCCTGGCTCAAGCAAGCCTTCTTCTAGACCAGGAGTCAGCAGAATTTTCTAAAAGAGGCCAGGTAGCCAATACTTTAGGCTTCAGGGGCCATCTGACCTCTCTTGCAGCTACTCAGCTCTGCCATTGTCGCATGGAAGCAGCCGTAGACAATACCTCAACAAATGTGCATGCATGTGTTCCAATAAAACTTTATTTACAAAACAGGCCGCAGGCCCGATTTGGCCAGAGGCCCGCAGTTTGCCACGCCTGTTGTGCATGAGAGAAGAATCCTTTCCCTAGTTTGGTTTTACTTTGCAACTATGACTTGGTTTGCAGCCATTGATGAGATGTACAGTGGGGGGAAGCTTTAGAGCAGTGGTTCTCAACATGTGGGTCGAGACCCCTTTGGGGGTCAAATGACCCTTTCACAGGGGTCGCCTAAGACCATCGGAAAAACACATATAATTACATATTGTTTTTGTGATTAATCACTATGCTTTAATTATGTTCAATTTGTAACAATGAAAATACATCCTGCATATCAGATATTTACATTACGATTCATAACAGTAGCAAAATTACAGTTATGAAGTAGCAACGAAAATAATTTTATGGTTGGGGGTCACTACAACATGAGGAACTGTATTAAAGGTTCGCGGCATTAGGAAGGTTGAGAACCACTGCTTTAGAGTGTTGGCTGCCTGGGAGAGCACCAAGTCCTTGGTGAGAAGACCCACCCAACCAAGGGGAAACTGAGTCATGGGTCTTAGCTCCCTGTGGGCCTGCAGCAATGGGGACCGACTTCCCAAGTGTTGTGGTGCCTCTCCCTACTCCCTCGGGTCAGGTTGGCAAGGCTGAGTGTCTGACCAGGGTCAGGGTGAGGCTGACGGCGGGCAAAGCTGAGGTCGGGGAGCAGGCCGAGCTGACCTCTCCTGGACTCTGGCTTGGGGTCTGCGCTGCATGGCTCAGTTGGCTCCCCTGAAGGCCTCTGGGGGGCTACTGCCACATCACCAAAGCTTGGGGGTTGGTCTTTCTTTGGAGAACACCTGTCCCGCAACAGATGAGGCTCCTCTCAGGAGGAGGGCAGCCTCTAGGTTAATTCAGCTTTTAGGTGGTCATAGAGGTCCCCCTGGCCTTGAGGTGGACCATCCTCCTCCAGACAAACGGACCTTCTCAGGAAGCCAGGCTTTCATAGAAGGGGGTCATGTCCTGAGACTTCCTACTCTAACATTTTGTCTCAGTTGCCCCTCTGCAGGCTGGGTCCCTTGCAGCCCTGAGTATTGCTGGAGCTTCTCCCATCAGCTCCCGTCCCCTGGTAGGCGGGAAGCTCTTCCATTTCCAGGAGGCTCTGGGGCCGGCCACCCCGGCCGGGCATGGGCTCTGGCAGGGCCTGTCCAGTGTCCGGGTCTGAGCCAACAGCAAGGCCTCCCTGAATTCACACCTTGTCCCTGAGGAGGGGACTCCGGGACTTGCTGTCCGCCTGCGCAGAGCCAAGGTTCCGGTTTCCTGGCCTCGCCGGACCTCAGCCCAGGGCACGCTCGCTCTCTCTGTACCTGAAAACTCTCGCCCCCTGCCTCCCTTCCTGTCCTCTCAGTCTGACTCAGCCTTTTCCTTCGTGTTTCCTGCGGCTGCTATCTTGGACTCCCCATCCTCCTCCCAGGAATGCCATGTCTCGGGGATAGGTAAGCCTGTCCTTCGCTCGTCCTCTGACCCTCCTGTTCACTCTCGCTGTCTCCAGCCGGAAGAGCCCACGGCCAGCCCACCGCCTCCTCTGAAAAGGCAGGTAGGGCTCCTTCCAGTGGATGGGGTCTTGGTGAAGCCAGGGGTCCCCTGATGCAGAGGGGTGGGCTCAGTCGGCCTCTGCGCACCCAAGTAGGGCTGATCATAGGTTCTCTGGGAAGGCAGGCACAACATGCGGTCCTTCAGCCAGTCGGGGGTATCGGCTGACCAACCACGGTGCTTCTGGTGCACTGTTTGATTGGGGACACAGACCGCACCACCTGGTCTGTGATCTGTTTTGTCGGATGCCCCAGAACACAGCGTTAGCTGCAGACCACATACATAGGCTGACGTGTAAAGGGATGAGAAAGTGGCAGTGATGGTGGAATGGGCGTAGGTGGCCGCTCGGCTGCACGCCTTGAAGGGGGAAGGCTGGGGTGTGGCGCCCGAATAGACAAGGCCCCGCGTGGTGCGCAGGCGCAGCGGCAGCCGGGCACTGTGGCTTTCCCCGGCCAGCATCTCTGGGTTTGGAATTTGCACAGACTCACTGTTTTGACCACAGCATTCAGAGATGGCTGGTCAGCATGAGACATGTGTGTTGCTTCTGGGCAGTGGAGGTTGAATGAGGTCAGTGGGGGTATGAAGCAGAGATGTCGTCTTAGTGTATAACTAAAGAACAATTTTTTTTCAATTAAAAAAAATGGGTATTTTAAAAAATACCAATATCTGGTGCCCATCCCAAGACCAATTAAATTAGAACCAATGAAAGTCAGGCCCAGTCTTGGGTAGTTTGTTAAAGGGCCCCGGTGGCTGCAGTGTGAGTTTAGGATTGAGAACATGGGTTGTACAGGTTTTGATTTGGTGGGTCTGGAAGGAGGCCCAATAATCATGTTAAGGAGGATGTCAGATTTATATGATGTTATTAACCAATGTTACCTCAATAAATTAAGTTAAAAAGGAAATGTAAAAAAAATAACAATAAAGAAAGAAAAGGAGAGATCAGGTGATTCTGATGCAGATGGTAGACCATCAGCACCTGAGGTTAGTTTGGAATCTTACTCAAGGTGACACCTGGTGCGCCGTGGGCCCCTGGTCCTCCTGGGGGTCCTCATGTTGGGGGGCGATGCAAGGGCCCTAGTAGGGAAGGAAGCTTGATTTGTCTTCTCTCCAGCTCCCCTCCGTGGTTGTGACGGGGCATGTGCTCCGAGAGATAAATCAAGTGTCCGCCGGTGGCGAGTGCCCGAGCCGGCCCCGCAGAGCCCGAGCCCAGTCTGACCTGCAGCTGGGGGGGCGCGAAGAAAACCCTGCCTGCCAGGGGGCGCTGGCCCTGTCGGGGGTGCTGCGGCGGCTGCAGCTAGTGGAGGAGAAGATTCTCCAGGTGAAAGCCTCGCCCTGGGCCCTGCCTCTGCCCGGGTCCGGGGTGCCCTCCATTCCCCTTCTTCCTCCGCCTGCCCAGGGTGGGTTCCTTCTCTGCCTATTCATGCCCTGTCCCCCGTCCTGTGTGTGGGGAGTGAGACAAGCCTGCCTGACTGCCCCCTGCCCCCCTCCATTCCAGGCTCTGTCACTCTCTCTTTTTCTTTCTCCTTTCTCGCCTTGGCTGCAGAAGAGGGCTCAGAATTTGGCCAACAGGGAATTTCACCAAAAGAACATTAAGGAGAAGGCGGCTCACCTGGCCTCCATGTTTGGACACGGGGACTTCCCGCAGGTAAACGGGGTTTCAGAGCCCCAGGAGCCCGTGAGGCGGCCGCGACTCAGTCTCTGAAGCTCCGTGTCCTCCTTCCCACTGCTTTTATAGCAGGAGGCACGATTCACTTGTCAAGCCGCTAAAGAGTTCAAGGTGCCGTCTTAAAAAGATGCAAATAAGAACACTCAAAATAGGTAGATAAGTCAGAACAAAGGGAAAACCAAGAGAAGGAAAGTGAGCTCAGATCAAAGGCAAACATTACTGAACAGAAACACTGAGCTGTTAGATACAAAGAGGAAACCCTGGTCAGTTGCAAGAATCACATGACAACGCCTTTAAGGTGAAAGCAGCCCAGTTGCTCATGATGTTTGGGGGCCGGATGGAGAATCTCGCCCTGGCCTTGATCAGGGAAACACTGAGGAAGAGGTCAGCCCCACGCCGTAACCCGTACTCGGCTCCCCCAAAAGGCAGTGCAGGGCCAAGGAGAA